TCCGGTCTGTATAGTCGGAAACGATGATCTCGTTAAACTTGTTGCAGGCAGAAAGGAGCTGGTAAATGGTGGGGCCGCTGCCAATATCTATCAGGATGTCGCCCTTCACATCACCTGTGTTGGAACAGGGGGGAGCAGTGTTACCTGGCACCGGAAAGGCAATCACGGGGTTGACCATATTTCCACACTGCCTCGCGTGGCTGGTGCACTGAATGGATGCTGCTCCAGCAGTGACGCGATGCCAGCCTTTGCACAGACGGGAGCTGGGCTTTTCAGGTCTCAGCAAGGATGCAGGGCTTTGATTGCCATGTACCACAGAGGCCCTGAAGGATTTGGGATGCATCAGTGAACCCCTCGGGGTGTTTCAGGCATGCTCAGTGGGAATAAGGAGCCCGTCCTGTCTATTCTGACTGTACAGAGCTGGGGTCAGGACAGTCGCTTCCTGGGTGTTTGCACAGCACCCAGTGCTCTGGGGCCCTGGTTGTTGGGCAGGCCTCTCACCACGGTTGGGTTAGTCTTCACCTATCCTAAAGCAGTTCAGCACAGGACTTTGCGCAGACTGAAGCAGGACAGGCTTTACCTGCTTAGCTGCCTGCTGTATTTTTCAGCTTAGGAAGGGAAAGCGCAAGGAAAATCGTTTAGGAACAGGATGCAGGGGGTATTTGTACCTTCCTGTGGGACGGTGGGGCGGGGGAGTAAAAGGTTTAATTGCTGGTGCCAGCACGGCCTGCTAGTCCATCCCCACCTCTCTTGAATGGAGACTGCCTCCCATGTGGACATGGGTGAAGCCCAGTAAGTAGCCAGTATGTTGGCATCATAGTCACATGTGAGGTTAACAGACTTTGAGATATTGCCCATGGCTGCAGAGAGGAGCGGGCAGTGTGATGCGCAGCGCTGCAGACGGTGAGCTGTCCTGGCCCCACAGCTGTTGCTACCAAGATGGGGAGGGAGGGTGTTCCCATGCCCCCCAGACATGCCTTGGCACTTCCCAAGTGTGTCTACACAAGACACTTACTGCATATTAGCCTAACAACACTGTGCAGTAGCTTGTCATGGCAAAAAACTTGCTGTTAGTCTACTGCGCAGTCTTATTCGGCTAATGCACAGTAAGCATCACTAAATAACTTTGTGCTGGCGCTACTCCACTGAAACTTTAGTGCATTTAGTTAGTACTTTATTAAGGAAGTGCTAAAATAAATGCACAGTATCTAAGGGGCATTAATGAACATGTAGAGGCGCCCCCTGAGTCCCTGCTGCAGGTCGTCCTACCGTATACAGCTTTGAATTCCCCATTAGAGACGGTACTTGTGTTTGCTCAGAGAACAAGGGAATGGGCCTTCTTAGGACTTGGAAATAAGTCCCTGCTGAACACGATGCAGTATGCTGCGTGGTGATACTCACTTAAAGTGAACATCTCACACAGGCTTCTCAGATTGAGTGTCAGGATCTTGTTTCCTTTGCAATGACTTGCACCGAGGCTGTAGTATGTTTCCAAGTAGACCCTGGGGTTGAAATCTGTCTGATAAACTTCTCCGTCCGTGAAGCTAGCTGGAGCCTCCATCTTGCGCAGGCAATAATATCAGGTCCCGCCCTCTGGGTCAGCTGTACTCCTAACTTCTGCTTCCGCTATTGTAACCCTTTCCTGTGCTGCCAGATTGCAGTCCTCGCCCTTCTGCTCTCAAGCTGGACCTCTCGGACTGAGAGGCTTGCAGAGACCAGAGGTGATAAACCCAGAGCTGAAGCTGCCAGGCACGCACTGGGGAGGTCTTGGGCTTTCTTTGGCCCTCAAAGATGTGGTGACTGCTCTTACAATCCTAGATATGCCCACTGGATATATTGCTTCCAAGTTTGTGTTTTCTTAAGGGGGAAAAAGGATGGAGACAGTGTGTTTCAGAGCTATACAGTCATAGAAACTGAGGATTGGAAGGGAGCTCAGGAGGTCACACCTAGTCCACACCCTGCTCAAAGCAGGACCAGCCCCAGCTACATCATCCCAGCCAAGGCTTTGTTTAGCTGGGGCTTAAAAACCTATGAGGATGGAGACTCCCTCACCTCTCTGGGTAACCTGTTCCAGTGCTTCATCACCCTCTTAGTGAGAGAGTTTTTCCTAATATCCAACCTCAACTTTCCTTGCTGCAACGTGAGCCCATTGCTCCTTGTCCTGTCATCCGCCCCCATTGAGAACAGCCCAGCTCCATCCTCTGTGCAGCCCCCCTGCAGGGAGCTGAAGGTTTCTATGAAATCCCCTCTTGGTCTTCCCTTCTGCAGACTAAATAACCCTTAGCCACTCCTCACAAGTCACGTTCCTCAGCCCCCCAACCATTTTTGTTGCCCATCACTGGACTGTCTCCAACTTGTCCACATCCTTTCTGCAGTGGGAGTCCCAAAACTGGACACAGTCTTTACAAGCGATTCCCTTGTAAAACTGCTTCAGCAACTTTATTAAGGACTGGATACAGAGGCTATGGGACAGGTGTTACTATAACAGCGTGCTGGGGCTGCAAGCTATTGCTGGGAGGGTGTTCGAGGATGGAAGTGGCCTACAGATCCCTGTGTGTGTCAGGAAAGCAGTGGCATGTGGGATGGCTGAATACTTTTCAAAACTCTTCCCTCTTCCAGCACCGCAGCAGAGGGCTGTAGGACAGGGCATCGCTCCCTGGTTTAATCATCCTTGTGAGTAACTTTTCATGGCTGCAAAGTGAAGCCCCATAGTCAGCAAGAGGGGGATTCATTTTGTCTGTAGGAGTGCAACTCACTGAACCAGGAGGGAGAGCCAGAAGTCTCTGAGCTCCTAAGGGATGCCTGTGAAGCAGGCACTTGGTAGTTAACATGTGATGGCATTTTTTTTTATGTATAACAGGCTTCAGAACAGGATGGAGAAGAAACTGTGCCCTGTGGGATGGGATGGGTTGCATTGGGTGGGTGAGATGCATTGGTGAAGCAGCGTGGGAACTGCCCACTGGGACAGCAGACAGTGCTACAGCTCGGCTCCAAACAGACTGTGCTGGGGGCACCTAAGGGGTGGCAGCTTTCTCTGGGTTTGCTTCATGCCAAACAGGGCTCTTGGTATTAGATGAATTAGAAAGCAGCAAAAAAGCGGGGGGGTGCAAAATAACTCCTCCAAACTGGCAAAAGTTTTCAGTTCTGTTTTACTGATTCGTAGATGAGAACTCCATGCAGAAGTAGTTTGCATGTTATACTAAATACAAGCATTTTCTATGCGCGAGTCAAAGTGGGCTCTTGTGTTTCAGGCAGGTGTAATTAGTTCTAAGAAGCTGATCTAATTGATTATTTGATTGTTTTCAGTGCAGACCAGAGGGCAAATCACTCTCCGCAAGAAACAAAAAATACCATCCAACCCACTTCCACTCCTGTTCCTTGCATTGCTGCCTCCTATTATCAAAGAGTGGGATCAGACAGACCAGGCATTGGACCAAAAACCACAGGGCACATCTTGGGTGCCCATATACAGTGCCCTTCCAGACATGGTGAAAAGTTTGTCAAGAGCCTGAGGAACCCAGGGCCTGAAAAGATCTAGACTGGCATAAGCAATCCATGATTAATACATGTGGAAGCAACACCCTGGCCACTCTCAAAGCAGTTTTCATGTTGCATCAGAAGACACTAGCATCACACCTGAGAGTCTGAGCTCCTCTCCTGCCTCGTGGGGACTTCCACTCACATGCAAATGCTGCAATTTCTCATTTTTTAAGAGGAATTTGTAGTTTCACAGGAAAGGGTGAAATGCATTTTAAGCAGGAACATATGCATCATCTTGGGCATAATGTAGCTTTTTAATTATTATTTCTATTTTAGAGGGAGCCTTTTGTGTCCCACTTATTCTCCAAGGGTCTTAAATTGCTTTCTCTTTGCAGGCGACAATGAAGTACATGCCAGAGAAATCGCAGATTTCCTGCATGGTATCATCGCCCCTGGAGAGGACGTCAAACTCCTGAATGGCAAAGCCAGTTGCACTAAGAGCCTCCCTCAAAAATTCCTCTGTCAGAACCAAACAGAAGAACTTTTTGAGACCAACCATGTAGAAACTGGTGCCCAAATCTCCACTCAGCACCAAGTGCCCCCCTGGCTTTAGCAGAGAGCTGATGTTCCTCAGAGCAGCGCGGTAGGAGCTCTGGTCTTTGCAGACTGTTTCCAAGCAAAATGATGACACCAGGCAGTCAGCCAGAGGGAAGACATCTGGATCCAGGGGCTTGCTTTTGTGGACATCACATTTTAGGATATGGTTGATGACTCTTCGTAGCTTCCCCTCTTTCTCAGTCCACTTTTGCCTAAAGGAGAGAACGAGGTATTGACTGACATGTCTCTTCATGTCTCCGCACCATGATGGAGACGTGCACGTTGTAAGCAGAGAGAGTTCCCCAGGAACACCGATTTCCTGGGTTTTTTTGGACACCTCTGTTACGGTTTAGGGTTTGGGAGGCAAATACAATTAAACCCACCCCACAATAAGCCACAAATGCTGCTTCCAGCTCCTCCCAAGTTTGCTGCTGGACCTTGGGCCCTTGGCAGCATGTTAGCCCCTGCCAGGGGTTCACACCAGTTGCTGAATCTAGGCAAGTTTACTCAGTACCATAGTTTCAAAGGCTGTTGTGCTCAATCCCGGGACTCTAGAAAAACTGCGAAGTCCCCAGGAGAAACCTTTCTCCCTCTCTTTGTCCCCTGGCATTTTTGCCCGCATCTCCCTCTGCCTTTGCTGCAGGCTCTTCTGGGCTGTCTAAAACAAAGTTTGCCTCTTTGGGTCTCCCATTTGATCAAAGAGTGGAGCTGACCATCTCTAGACCGACCTCTGCAGCATGCTAGGGGCATGGGGATGAGCTTCCATCCCTTACCTGCCTCCCTCCAGTTCACAAATGTATTTCCCCACTTGAGACCAGTCAAATGCTCCAGGCTCCTGCTTCAGCCATTTCTGCAGCTCCTGGCAATTCTGGTCCCTGCAGTCTGCAATGATGATCTCCTTGAAGGTCTCACAGGCTGAGAGAAGCGGGTAGATCGCAGAGCTGTTGCTGATACTAATCAGAGTGTCACCTTTGATGGCACCTGGTTTGGGACAGAGACTTTTGGAGCTCGTTGAGTTTTATCTAAGTTCAAGGGAATCCCAATAATGCTGGGCTATGGTATTTTTTTTTTCCAATTAATTTCACAGAATCATAAAAAAATCAGAGCTGGAAGGGAGCTCAGGAGGTCACATCTAATCCAACCCCCTGCTCCAAGAAGGACCAGCCCCAGCTACATCATCCCAGCCAAGGCTTTGTCCAGCTGGGTCTTAAAAACCTCCACGGATGGAGACTGCACCACCTGTCTGGGTAACCTGTCCCAGTGCTTCACCACCCTCCTTGAGAGAGTTTTTTCCTAATATCCAACTTAAAATATTATACCTGTTTCCACTGAGGACCCCAACCCAAATCCCCCTGGCCTTAAACTAGTCTGTCCTCAGACTATGACTACAAGAATTGAATAGCATTTGGTTAAATTTAATTGGGGTTATCCATAGAGACAGAGGGACCCTGCAGATCAGCCTGGATTAGTGCAGCAAACAGCTGCACAGAGATGAAGAGAGCTCTCTAGTGTTTGCAAACTGCTGGGTCTGGAGCAGAGGCGTGCTAGCAATGCCCCGAGTCTGGGTACACTTCCTCCCCACTGAGAGCAGACATGTCATTTATTTGGTTGTAGGGCACTGTACGTATATTCTCCAAATTCTCCCCAACTCTTGTATGGTTATCCTGAGATTTTCAAAGACTTTTTTTTGCAATTTGGACACCCATCAGCATCTAATGGAAGGTCTCTCCCTAAACACCTTCAGTAGCTTTAAATTCTCCATCTAAATATGTAGAAAAGTAGACAACTGGACAAATGCTGCTGGAGAAACAATGCTGGTCCCTGGCAGTTGCACTCTGTGTGACTTAATAGGCTTCTTGTTTCTCCATATGAAATAGTTCTCCATCGAGTTCATGCAGCTTCCTTTTCCCTGCAGGAGGAGTGCAGAAAATACAGGCTCTGCCTGAACACACGTTATTTTTTCTGGTTTTGTTTCATTTCATCGTACTCCTGCCCTCTAGCTAATGGGTCCTTACTGCCACCTTGTACAGTGGGTGAAAGAAGAGGTTTTCTCATGCTAAGCTGCACTCAGATGAGATGGGAAGGATTACATTAATAGCTGTTGTGCTTCCTTCCTCTTTGACCCCCCTGTTACAAACACGTCAGGGTAGAAGGCATCTATTTCTTTGAAATCATTAAAAAAAATCACTGAAAATTCCATCAAAATGGATGCAATGTTGTGAAAATTTCCAGTTCTGGTGAATGAATACTTGTTGACTCAGAAAACAGTTGACTGCAAAATACCTAAGCAGCTCAACCCAGAAGACAGCCCACCCCCCAGAAGACAGAGTTCTCCTGATGTTATTTTTTCACAAATTTCTGAGTCTATGAACCACAAAACAGAGCTCTTCTGAACTACTAATGCTATTTTTTCCAAGAAAAAAATTGAGAAATGAAGAGAATTTCAAAGTATTTGCCAATCACTGTAGCTCCAATGTTAGAAAAAAATTAAAGGTGGGGAGGGGAGTGTCAGTCTGAGGCCAATCTGGGGCCAGGCTTCTGTCAGCAAAATCAGAGCCAAAAATACAATTCATGCCAGATGGCAGGAGCTTAAGTTAACCTGAGCTGTTCTTTTTTTCATTATATTGCCTGTTTTATATAAACAACCCAGCCCAT